CATATAATAGCACCTCCCTATATTGATGATTTTAGCTACATTATTCACCGATCTTTTTTTTCAAGATTCGCATTTGAATATTGTAAGGGCTTATGATAAAAGTTGCCTATGCAGGTCCATGTCATCGTTTAGACTCTAACATGACGGCTGCAATTGTTATTTTTAACATTTTAACAGAATTTTTAACGGATTTTATTTTTTTTTTGAAAATTGCCAAAATGCGGCCGGCCGAACTTACAGCTTTTTTCGTTGTTTTTTTTTATTAAAATAAACATTTTCATCAATGTATTCTTCTGAGTTTTGTAGCATCATTTGTCGAGTCGGTTTAAAATGACTAGTCGAAATGGTCTATTAGACACAATACAAACGTTATATATTCTATGGGGTATTCGAAGAAGATTTAGAAGTGTTACAAACGAAATGGCAAATTTCCATGGTGGAGCGGATAAAAATGTAATCAGTAGATAGTTCGCCAATATGGTTTCATTAAATGGATCAGTTTCTATGTTGATATAATGACGTTCGGTTGACTGTTCTCCTGTTGAAATTACAGCAGAGCTTTTAATATTTAAAATAGAGCTTTAAACGACATTGAGGGCGGTATATATTTGGCCTCACATGTTTTGGTATTTTCAATGTTCCAGCAATTTTATAAAATTATTGATACATATACATATATAACTCTCCATTTGTAATTTCAACAATATATTTCCGCAATATTATCCATAAATATGTATGTACTTATTCATAAAAGTACATTGAAGAAACGCAAATAAATATGTACGTTTATTCCTATATACATTCACAAATTGCAGGTAGGACAGTTTTATTGAATACTTTTTGGTCGCCACAACATGTGGCAGCCAGCCACCAACCAACCACAGTCACAGCCACATTTAAAAGCGTTCATCGTTCAATATTGACAAAACAATTACAATTATTTTATTATTCCAAACAATGCATATTTGCAATGGTCAGACTTGTTGGACACTTCGTCAGACAGTCAGTCAGTCAATTATTTTTACGGGATGTCGTGTGTCCTGATACCTGGCCACTACCACATATGGTGGCCAGACACATGCCTTTATCCAGCTATCCGTCCATCCATGCATTTTCAGCGCTTGTGCAGATTGTCGACAATTGTCACTGCTGGCTGGCCTTTCTATATCATTTACATGATTGCCAACGGCTTGGGCGGCGAACGGGCAGAGGGGGACACACAGCCCGACGTATTAACTTCATGTAATTTGCAATTATTTAAATGTTTGCAAATAAATACCCAGGATATCAGTGAATGTATCGCTGACATACTACTCTCAAATTATTGAATATTATGCATTGCAATATTAATAATAGTGTGAATGTATTATTTCTGATGTGGATAGTGGTCTATTGCTGTGAAAGGATTCGTTTTAGTGTTGGAGGTGTTTATACAAGGAAACATTTAAGTGTTATAGCAATACACAATGAAGACATTTTGGTTCTGTTTCGATAAAAGTAAATCAATTCCATAGGCGTGTTTGATAAATCAATAATGGTAAAAATGATGTCCGATAACTCAATAGTCTACAAAATAAGAGTGTAAGTGTAACAGATAGTTATAAATTTTACTGGGAACATTTTAGGCCATATTTCAACGGCATGTGTCTTAGAAATCCTAATTCAAGGCTTTGCTCATCGTAAACACTTCACTGTTTCGAATGAAAATTTTCTATTGCATTAAATTTAATTTACCCTTTTTTTAGACCTACACCACACAGTGGTAAGGGTATTGTCTGTTTCATATACTTTTCACTATCTTAGTCGATTTATGCATGTCAGTCCATCTGTACATGTATTCTTGTGAACAAAATGCAGGTCGCATTTATTATCCAATTGAGATGGAACTTTCCACACATTATTTGTTTGGTCCAAGGATGAACCCTATTGAAATTGATGAGAATCGGTTCAAATTTGGATATAGCTCCATGTATATCTTCAGCCGATTTCGGGTTAATTGTGCACCAAATGGCTAATATCAGTCTAAATAACCTGACTTTTGGCACATCCAACAGAATTCAATTTAGAAGCAAATACATCAAATTTGAAGAAAATATATTCAGATATAGCTATAGCTCACATATATATATTATCCGATTTTGGGGTTTTAAGTCCCTCACATGCATAATATGCACACCACTACAATGATATTTGATACCGGGCATCAGATACTGCTCGAAAATACCTCTGCCAATTTTTTTCGAGATCGGATTTTAAGTTGATGCTCACCACACAGGGTGAGATAAAAAAACTACAACAAAGTCAAGCGCCATAATTTTTACTTTTTTTTAAATTTCATTGAATGAAAGCAAAAAATGTCGGAAATAGTATCAAATTTTAGAATAAGTTTAGATTTGTTCGAATTGTTCACCTTTGATACGAATTATGGCCTTGAAACAGCCAATGAAACCGTCACACGCTGCCCGTATATTGCTCTACGGTATTTTGGTCCATTCCCGGCGAAGCGCTTGCTTGAGGTAATCGACACTTTGGTATTTTTTAGTGCCAACCTTGCTTTCCAAAATACTCCAGACACAATAGTCCAAGGATTGGTATCCGAAGATTTTAGTGGCAATTGTGCGCTGGAAATGAAGCGAGGGAACCATTTTGTAACCATTTTTGTTGGCGCGTGCTGAGTGCGATGGTGCTGAGTCCTGTTGGAATGTCCACGATCTGTGAAGATTTGCGTGCCCAAGGCTTTAATACACCCTCCACAATAGTTTCGCTATAATATTCGGCATTTATTCTGATGCCACGGTCGATTAAAACGAGCGGAGAGCGACCATCAGCTGTTATAGCGACCCACACCATGGCCGGCGCCTGAGTTCTGGTGGCCAACCGAAGGTGCACATTTCCAGCTGACCTCTTTGGCAAGTAAACACGATCATTTTGTTTGTATACAAACTGCTGGACAACGAATGTTTGAGCCTATTTTCTTTCTGTTGCGGTGTAAATTCTTGCACTTTTTGGAATTTCAATGGCTTTACCCCGAGCTCATTATTTGCCGAATGGAATGTTCCGATATATTCAGCTCACGAGCAGAGGGCTGCAATGAGTATGATTGAGTAGGCTTGATCACACACAGTGGAAATACAATCAAACTCAATCAGTCGGTCAGATGCAACATGTTCATTCGAGTTACTCAAGCCAAACGAAAAAGTTGTGATCAAACATGTATTGATCGAAGTTTTGTGATCGCAATCAAACAGCTCACATGAGTTATTTGTTTACGAACTTATGTTGAATTGTTCATAACGGGTCGATCATCTATGATGAGTCTGATCGGTTTTATTTAGCCTATTTAAGTGAGTGATTTGATTTGATTAAAACACAAATGTTCGAATTTGAACGAAATCATGATTGTAATTTTACTAAGGATTTTATAACTAAAAGATGTCCCCATTAAAGAAATTGGTACAAATTATATTTAATAAGCAAACAATTTTTCATTTTATTTGGGTTTTTGGTATGCTAGACTTCAGAAACTTATTTAAAAAAAAAATTAAATTTCTTAATAAAGAAACACATCATTGGTATTTAGAAAACTAAAAATGTTTAAATATTTTTTTATTTTAAAATATTGGTCAAGATTTTTCACAAACTTCGACCAGTTCCTTTACCTACACCTGTGTAGTCTCTACTTGCAACAATTTCGGTCGCACTATCACAATATTCCTCCATTTCAAATACTAAAAAAGTCAAAATAAACTGTCCCAACTTGATTAAATGGTTGAATAAACAATGACGCTGAGCGAACTCGATTCAAAGAAGACAATCACGGTTGTGATTGCTCATTTACATTCATGTGTTCGATCAACTCATGTTGCTGAACACATTATACCGTCTCGAACGCTCATGTTTGATTGTGAGTGAAGTGATTCAAACTGAGCGTTCGATTCGATCAGAAGCGAAAACGGTCATTTCATTCAGATCAAATTATACGACTGCATCAACAAAAATCATGTAAGAAACCGAGTTTGCTTGAATTTTTGCATACTCGTTGCAGCCCTCTGCTCACGAGCCATTTTTCGTTCACTGCAACGCGGGTTTCGATCAGGTCGCTTCTTTACTTTTCGAACCATTTCTGCTGATGTTGCTGTTTTCTTTTGTCCACTTCCTTGACGTCGGGCCACGCTACCAGTATCACGGTAACGAGCGATGGTACGAGACACAAAAGATTTATTCACATTTAAATGCTGGAATGCTCTAACGATAGCCACTTGTGGTTTTCCAGCCAAATATATACTCACTTTAAGGGTATAAGTTATACCAGTTTTAACATGCTCCTAATAGTGGATAAACACTCTATAATTTTTTAAAATATTTGCTAAATAATATTTTAAAATATATATTATTAATATTTGTTTGTAATATATATTTAATATTTTTATATTTATTTATTTTCATATTTTTTTAAAATACTTAGTATTTTTGATCCAGAAGGCGACAACAGAAAAATTGTGTAATAATATTCTTATCTTAAAAGTACTTTTGGCAGTACTCATCAAATCATCAAATTTAGCATAATTTTGATATCATCCTTAACTTTTTCCTAACAACATTAATTATCTCCCTCATGGTGAAGAAGCTAATAAAAGTTTCACATTTATTACTGTCAGCGCTTTCATCTACGTGTTATCAATGAAGCCAAAAAATATCCATACACAAACATCTTGATTAGACGTTGGCCGGCTTAGATTAGCCCTAACTTCAGATTTTAGTCATTAAATGCGGATAATTCTATGAATCTAGTTAAATACAAAGATTAAATAAAATAAAAACGCCACAATTTTCATCATTAATTCTATAGTTGGCGACTTTTAACAACTGTGGTGTATGCAACACTTAGTGACGCTTTGCTACGGTTCTCGCTCTCCCCAAATGCCAACAATACTCTCGCACGCTCTCATTGTGTTTCTTTCCCTCTCTGTTATTATTTTTTCCCTCCTAAAATTTGACGTTTTCTTTTAGTCTTATTTTGCCGATACTTTGCGAGTGCCGTAATTTAGAAAAACTGCAATAAATTACTAGAAAAACCCTGTGAAATACAAGTGAAACTTTAGAAAAATACAAAAAACTAATCCATGAAAACATAAACTAATCGAATTTGATAAAATAATTTAAAAATTTCGTTGAGAAATAACATTAAAACCTAAAGTAAGTTGCTTGTGCCAGCGAAAGAAATTTCTCGTAAACACTGCTTTGTTGTTCTTTATTTCGATTTGCTTTTGTGTGCCGTTCTGTTCGGTTGGTTGTTAGTTGTTTGTGTGTGCGTGTGTATTTTTTGTTTCGCAGCCGACGTCGTACCGCGTGTTGTGCTGGGAGATTTATTTGTCGCATTGTGTGTGCACAGTAAGTAACATTGCAAGAATCTGTTGGAAATGGAAGAATTGATGATTGATAATGGAATGGAAATATACGAAAGAGTGTTGTCACTGTTTCTTATCCGAAAAACGGCAATACAAATCATTGTAGTTGGAATTTCATTATTTTGTGTAATAGTAGAATGGTGCAACCGACTACGTTATTATTGAAGGCAATATAAAGAAATTTTACTTTCTAAAATGACTTAAAGCCTGTAAAAAATTGTTTATTTTATATTGCTCTAATAATGGGGGGGAAAATGTTGAAACAAATAAGAGGCTTGGGAAAAAAATATTATATATATATATATATATATATATATATATATATATATATATATATATATATAAATGTAAGTTGTGTTAGTTACTACGCTTATAACTTTTGAACCGCTGGATTAATTTTAACGATTCACACAAATTCGGAGTTGTCTACTCTCCGAAAAGGATAATATCCAAAAAAATCGCGTAAAAATGTGATATATTAACATTTTCATTTTGACTTTTCAAATGTACAATAGTAATGTTTTATTTTGCATGATTTTTTTCCATTTTGACTTACTTTTTTCTAATGTACATTTGTAGTGTTTTTTTATATTTTATTTTTGAATTCGAATATTTATACCAATTTATTTAATTGACTTGATTTCTTGAGAACTGAAATTGATGACGGGTTACATGGAAGTGTAGTAGCGAATTATGTGGTGGCGAAACGGAATAGATGATATCGAAATAATTTAACGCGGTCACACCAAAGTTAAAAGATAATTACTTTTTCTAAATCGCTGAAAAATCATGAAAAAGAGATCTCATTGCAAAAATCAAAAAAACATTTTCAATGGAATCGAATTTTAAAGTAATAGTACATTCTATTGACAAACTTTGTAAGGAAGGATCTTAAAACATTTGCTGTAAAAAATCAGCGAAAAAGTTGAAGACTTTTTCAATTTGTTATTCTTTTTTTTGTTAATTTTTTTTTGTGAACAAAATAAAGAATAATTTTTCACTAAAAAAATTGAATAAGTGCGAAATAGGATGTTAACCTTTCAACTCCAGGGCCTACATCGTGGGTTAGCTGGAAGATGCGAACACGTTTAAACAAACAAAAATGACCGAAAAAGCTTAATGGGGCTCATTTCAAAGCGTGACAATGATCCGTCCAATGAGAGCTCAAAATGCAAAATTCTTTGGGAGAATAATAAGTAATATACCAATATTGAAATAAAAGGTGCAAAATAGTAGAGCGAATGGGACTTTTAGTAAGAAAAGGTTTTATATCCTTCCAGAAATTCTTCCCAAACATTCAAAATACCTAAAATCACTTTTGCAGGTCTTTATATCGATCATAACTCATGGATAAGGGAACAACCCGATTTCATATTTATATAACCATCTATGATTTAAGTTATTTTTGGGGTCTTGGCCGGCCACTTTTTTCATTTTTTGCCCCTTATTTGACATTTTTGTTTCTAAGGGGGTAGATAACCTCTTCGCATAAAATTTGAAATTTTCAGAGTAGGGCCCATATTGGTATTGACCAAATTCATCAATTGATTTGGCTAAAAATTTTATTTATGCCACCCTGGGGTAGGGAACCATCATACAGATAATTGCCACATAGGAATTTATTTAAGTAAAGTCCCCACATTGGAGTATCCCCAAGTCCACTTTCACATCTAATGTGTGATCAGAAAAGAAAATTTTGTATTCTATTGAATTTTTAACCCCCAAGAGAATATTAGTTGGGAACGTAGATTTGGGATGTGCATCCATATGAAATAAATTGTGGAAACATGAAGAAATTACAAATATAAGAAAGTAGCACGGGACCGAATATTTGTTTAATCATCATTGAATTATCCTATGATGAAAATATGGACTTTAAGGGGTCTCCAACTTACAATTTAAATGGCAAATAAAATTAATTCCCATCTTATCATTCTGCCCTCAATTATGAGGTGGATAAAACTATTTTTACTTATTTAAATCACGCGAAATGCTATGACATGCTATATTGTTCTGCTATATTTTTGATTTGGCCTCTATTTGTCATCTTGGATTATAAGGGGTAGAAGAAAGTTTTCAATGTAGGTCGATGTTTCGGAGTAGTGCCCATATAAAGAAGGTACCTCCTAATTTAACCACATTTCAAAGAATTTGGCTAATAATGCGTATTAGGGGGGTGAAAATCTTACACTAAAATTTCAACATATCTACAAATTTTAGAATTTTTATCCATGTTATAATACCCTCTCAAGTCCACCTTTTGCGGACAAACAGACTGACATGGTTAGGGGGACTTATGAGGACTCTAATGCACAATCTAAGTTGCTAATGGGTTTAAAAAAGTAATTAACTTTGGCTATTCTTAAATCATTCAGCCCTCAATTATGTAGTATACAAAATACAGCAAATTCCAAATTACTGCTCATTTGACTGGAAGATTTTGCTACGATTTTTACCATATTAAAAATTAATTTGATCCCTTATATGGCGATAAGATTGATATATACTTTTTAATAGATTTGTATAGCACATCCACACAGTTGAAGCCCACGGTTTAAATATTGAAGCCCACTGGTTCAAAATGGGTACAGGTATATATATATATATATATATATATATATATATATATATAAATATATATATATATATATATATATATATATATATATATATATATATATATATATATATATATATATATATATATATATATATATATAAACCAATAATTTTAAAAACATGTTTCATCTTTACTAATACATCGAAGCGTAAACTTTTTTCGTCAATTCCCTCCATTTTTTATTTTCACAAAATATTTTGCGGTATTTATTACATTTTTTTCTTTTTCTCCTTTGTGTAAACAAATATCTTCTGACAACTTATACCTTGTCGGAGTGTAACTAAACACACAAGATTAACCCACTGTATCTAATAAACCCAATGAGTTTTTCCGCCATAGTATAATTGCGCTATAGTCCTTCCCCAGTTACTCAACATGGTTAATAGGCACCATTGTACGATGAAACAAGACAGTTTAAGTTTTACAAAATCAAGGATCGGTGCATAGGGTATGGGCGCCTAAGTTTTGTATGTTCCAGTAGTCGGCATTTTTATACTATCCACCATAGTATGGAGGGTATATCAAGTTTGCCATTGCGTTTGTAACACCTCGAAATATACATTTTAGATCCCACAAAGTATATAGATATATTCTTGATCAGCATAAAATTCTATGTCGATTGAGCGATGTCCATCCGTCTGTCCCTCTGTGAGAATATAATGGTACCTCCCATTATTCGGTATTTTGATGATTTTAGCAACATTATTCTCCGGCATTGTTTCCGCCTATAACAGAAATTTTTCTGTGCAGGTCCACGTCTTCGTATAACCCCCTATAAAACGGTACCTCACGATATTCGGTACTTTGTTGATTAGCAACATTATTCTCCGGCATTGTTTCCGCCTATGACAGAAAATTGTTTGTGCAGGTTACGTCTTCGTATAGCCCCCATATGACGGTTCCTCCCTATTTTCGGTATTTTGATGATTTTAGAGACATTATTCACCGGAATTGTTTCAAATTTGGTATGTGAAGTTCGTAATGGATACTACAGCCTATGACAGAAAATTGTCTGTGCGGGTCCAAGACTTCGTATATCCCCCATATAATGGTACCTCCCGATATTCGGTATTTTGATGATTTTAGCGACTTTATTCACCGGAATTGTTTCAAATTTGGTATTTGAAGTTTGAAATGGATACTACAGCCTTGGACAGAAAATTGTCAGTGCAGGTCTGCGCCTTCGTATAGCCCCCCTATAACGGTACCTCCCAATATTCCGTATTTTGATGATCTTAGCGTTATTATTCACTGGAGTAGTTTCAAATTACGTATTATGAGTTCGTAATGGGAATTACAGTTTGTGACACAAAATTTTTTATGCAGGTCCAGGTCTTCGTATAGCCCCATATATCAGTACCTCTCTATATTCGGTATTTTAAAAATTTTAGGTACATTACTCACCGAAATTGTTTGAGATGTCGTAGTTGAAGTTCGTAATGGATGCTATAGCCTGTGACAGAAAATTGTACCTCCGTATATACGGTATTTTGAAGATCCTACATATACCCGTTTATAATATGGTAATGACTTATAACAAACAATGCCTATGTAGGTCCACGTCGTATAGACTCCAATATTACGGCTATAATTCGTTTCAAACGGTGGAGGGTATTCAAAGTTCAGCCCGGCCGAACTTACAGGTTTTTTACTTGTTTCGAATATGTATACATATATATGTAAATTAATTTAATTTTTGTTATGTTTTTTCGCAATTTATTGTTATTTCTTTATAATAAATGGTAAATGGAATGGAAAAAGGTAATTCGATTTGCGTCGTTTTGAGTTGTGTCGCGATTCTCCGGTCCCCATTAACGACGCAAGTCGGAGCTCTGGTGTACACATTTTCAAAACCACCTCCATATCTCAAATTCACATACCAACAGGGACCACAATATGCAATTTGATGAATTCATCCCTGTCCCTTTACCCAGTACCAAATTTAGTACCATTAAATACTTTTTTTTTATAAAATATAGGACGCCTTTTCAATCCATTGCCAAATCTCAAATCAGTTATCTAAATATCAAATTTGACAATTTTATCTTTATCCCTTCGCCCCTACGTTAAAAAACTCTACTTTTAGAATCAGTTATTATATTATTCATCCGTAACGGAAATTTTTTAGAGGCAAAATAAATATAAAGGAGATAATAAAAGTCCAAAGGTCAAGGATCATTGTCAAATAATAGTAGATTTAATATGAGCTGTTACAAGAAATAAATTTTTCAAAACATTGTAATTTGGAAAATATGTAAATCAAATGCACAACTATATTATTTTTAAATATCATTGAATGTAAAATTCAATGTCCATGTGAATTACCATTTTATGTTTAATTTTCTTTCAGTTTCAGTACCAAAATCATAAACGAGTTATTTGTGTTATTTGTTGTTCTGAATTCTTGTACTCGTTAATGTTATTCGTCTAATTGTATTCACCCCTTTATCACCAGAGCATAAGTTCTCATATTCAGAGCAATTGCCAATTATAATTATTATTATTTATTTTAATAAGAACAATAAAAGGCAACATTAACAGCACTAAAAATAGAGACAATCAAGAACCAGAATGCCCAAGTCAATTGCTGCTGTTCTGCTGCTATTGTTGTTGTTATTTTCAAAGTGAATCAAGTGAAGGAATTCCTAACACAAAAAAAAAACTAAAAGAAAAACCCAACGAAACGCGATAATTTAATTAACGCAGTAGAGTACAAAAAAACCAAATGTATATACTTATGTACATACATATCTGCCACCCGCGCTACTGCTTTTGGTTAAGAAAAAGTGTTGTGTTTGGGGTTTTGGGGAGGAGGAGGAACTGATGACAAGTAATTTCTGCTACGCCCCCCACCCCGCACCGATTAATAGTGGCGTAGTAATGAGTGTAGTACAGCAATAATTTGTGGCGGAACTGTTGTCTTGATATTGCCGATGTTTTTCCACTGCTTACAGCTCGCGGTCTGTGGCAGGCGCTACTGCCACTGCTGTACGAGTTTCGAGTTTTAAGTGGTGCGCAAGAGTATCTGGATCTGTTTCAATTTTAATTAATGTGCAGATATCATGCAACAACAAATTGTAGACAATTCATTACCAGTAATTGATTATAATTTGTAGTTATTGTCTTTTATATCAATTTTTGAGCTGAAAGTATTCAGTTCAGACGCTCTGCTGCACTCCACTCCACTCAAGTCTGCCTTAACTCCGATTCACTTCTCCAGCTATACGTTTCCCTGTTTACACAGTTAGTTGGGTCTAGTTACTTTCTATTATTTTATTTGTTTAATTTTTGTAATTTAGTTAAGTCTTGTTTTTTCGTTTTCCTGTACGATTGTACGGTATCAAGACAAATAACATTAATAGATAATGGTGGTAAAGTGAATGCTAAGGCCAATAAAACAATCATAGACACAAATATTGTAGTGAGTGGAGGGTTTTCCTGAAACAGTTGAAAACATAGTGTATGATAATTCACTATATATCAGAATCGTCATTAAAATAATTATTAATATACCCCAAATTACACACATGAAGATTGTGGGAAAGAACAATAAGTTGTTGGAAAAGGAGGGTCGAAGAAAAAATGTAACTTACCTCATCCAACTGCCTTCATTTCTCTAAAAAAGTACTTGTTTCCAAAGCCTTTTCTAGTCTTTTTGCGGAATATACTTAAAGATGATTTTAATAGGAAATATCCTGAAAATTTTACTCAAAATTCAGCAGCTCATCTGCAAATTTTCGGCATGAGTAAGCATATTACCTTTGAAAAAAGTCAAGATGATCATAGTCTTGGAATCAGTCAAAGATAAATATCTGGAATTTTCGGATAAAACAGGCTAACATGTAAAAAAACACTTAAAACCAGCGAAGAAAAGAATAAAAGTTGGGCAGAGAGGCTACATCTTCAAAATAGGAATCTCTATTAACCCAAACCCTACCCCCACGAAAAATACTATTGTAGGATGTACAAAAATGTAAAATTTAATCATGGCAAACCAATAGAGGTTAGACTCATTTCCTGAATTGAATATGACAACCCTTTTTTGACAAACTCGACTCAGCCATATCGCTGAGAGCATAAAAATATCAAATGATATTTACCCTCCAAAACGTGCCTTATCGAAATAATGGTATCTTTGGACCAAATCCATTTCAGGACATTTGGAGTTGATCTAGCGATGTCCGTCCGTCCGTCAGGCCAGCTGGTGCACACGATAACTCTCGAAGGGAGTATCCGATATGTTCCAAAATTGGTACATCGTAATATTTTTATCAAACTTAGATCAAGTTCGGAGATGGGCAATATCGGTTCACTCCTTCTGGTAACCCCCACAAAAAAAGGAAAAATTTCAAAAAAAAAAAAAAAAAAAAAAAAAAAAAACATCTTACTGCACAGAATAGATTATCCGATTTTGCTCCAACTTCGCAAATCGTAATATTGACATCAGTGCTAGCTCAGGTAAGAAAATGGACAATATCAGTCCACTACATCAAGTTCTGCCCCCACAAAGGGTCAAAATTTTGAAAAACAAAAAATATTAAAAATTCCGATATAATCATCTGATTCTCTTCATATTTTACACTTCCAATTATTTTAATTAACACAAGATGTGCTCTAAGAATGGGATATAACGGTCCACTCCTTCTGGACTCCTTTGGACTAGTCATGAAGCGCGTACATCCAAGTATTTCTGCTAACTCAAGATCTGTTGTGAAGATTACATACATCTGCCAACCCCTTCTGGTACCTCACCCACAAAGGGTCCCAATTTTCAATACTTTTATCTGTCATAACTTGCAAAACAAGTCAGCGATTCTTTACATCTTTATATATTAATATTTCATTCCACCAGGAACCTGTGGTTGTGGTTTAAACCCAAATCGGTTGAATGAGGAGTTACCGCTCCGCTCCTAACCAAGGAGGTGACCACGTTCAAATACGTGCGAGCGAATTGCTGTTCACTTTAGTGGGGGCGTTAGTAGACGCATTATATTCACCTGGTGCTAAGACCACTGTGAGATAGACGCAAAGTAAGTGATTACATTAAACAACACACATGAATACCCGGAGGAGTAGGTATTGCAATACCCTGGACCTAAGTAGGCAATCTAGGAACTATAAGAAAACGTCGAACAGCACTGACAAAGTAGTCCCACATGACGTAGAACCCATTTCGAACTCTAAATACCGAAAATAGGCCTATATGAAATTATATGTGATTTAGCCTTCTATCTGAATTCATTCGAAAGATAGCGTGTTTCGAAAAAACAGACGGACATCGCTTAATCGACATGGAATTTTGTGTACGGTGATTATTACGAAGAGTTGCAAGCGGAATGACAAAGTTAATATACCATCCATAGTAGGGTGGAGGCTATAAAAATATTCGAGTCATTCAATATAAACCATAGATTAAAGTATCCATTAAAAACTTCAAATACGAAATTTGACACAATCCCGGTGAATAGTGTCGCTGAAATCAGCAAAATACAGACTTGTGGAGGTTCTGTTATATGGGGGCTATACGAAGACCTGAATTTGCGTAGACAATTTTATGTCTTTGACAAAATTACCTGGAACTTAAAATACAAAAGTTTACACAATTCCGGTAAAAATATCACTAAAATCATCAAAATACCGGATATAGGGAGGTACCGATATATAGGGGCTTTAAGAAGACCTGGACCTGCATATACAATTATTTGTCATAGACTATAGTACCCATTACGACAGATGGACGTTAAATTGACATAGAGTTTTATGCTGATCAAGAATATATATATATATATATATATATATATATATATATATATATATATATATATATATATATATATATATTTCGAGGTGTTACAAACGGAATGACAAATTTAATATGCCCTCCTCCATAAAAATAATTAAAAAACACGCCCCTAATCCAAATCGAGTACTCCTCTTTCGCGATCTATTGTGTGCACCAGCCCGACAGACGGACAATCATCGCTATATCGACTTCAAATCTCGCCAAAAGTATTTCGCCCAAAGAGACCTAAGGCCTAAAACCGATCATTCGATGAAAGATATTTTGGCTATATCAAATGATATATACCCTGAGGATGTAAAAGCAAAACGAAATTTTGAGATTTCGATAGTTTATGTCAAAAGGCACAATTTTTAATGCACATAAAAATGCCATAATGCCATAAAAATTGAACACTATTTTTTGCCAGTTTAATATTACAATTCATTAATGAATCGATGCAGATAATCAATTTGCTTTTATTAGGCAAAACTTTGTCATTTACGACGCTAATAAAATTCCTACAAAATTACAAAACAAGTGCTGTGTAATAGTCATGGTTTCCTTAAAAGCTTTATTGATTTCAAATCTTTTGGGTTTCTTTCAGATACACGGTCCTTGAAATATCTAAAAACTTGAGACACATCTAAGGTAAGAAAAAAAAATTAAAAGCGTTATAGCGTTATTTTTATTCTCCTCATTTTAGTCAAATCAGCGGGACATTTAAAGTTATAACTTGACGTAAGCCAACATATATCTTTCACTACCAAAATCATTTATATGTTTGCGTTTGTAAATAGCAAAATAATGCCATCATTCACGTAACGAAAAAAAAATTATAAAACAAGTAAGCAAAGGCTATAGTCGTGCGGGGCCGACTATGTTATACCCTACAACACTACATATGTTAGAAGCCCCATTATGTCCAAATCCATCCATCCATATTGAAAGATTTCTCTTTTGAAATTAGGATTTTGACTAGGGACATTTGCCCAACATTTATGCACTCCGTCGGGCTGTTAGTTGTTGTAGTCTATTTTACAGCTAAATATAATCCAATGGTCATTCAAAATGCTAGAATTCTTCCCTGTCCTTAACTCTCTTCACAGGCGTGTCGATTGGCTTCAATTGTGTGATCCGAAAAACATTTCTGTTTTTTGTTAATTTGAACCCCTAAATATTTTGCAATCCTCTCCAAAAGCAAGAAGACCTCTGTACCTCCAAATTTAGACTCATCTATATGATTTGCTTGTCTACGATATTTGGCTATATTCGTCAACGAAATCAGCATAAAAAGTCAGAAGTTCGTCTTTTGTGTATTTCAGATATCGCCAGTAACTCTTACTTTATGCGAGATTTCGTGTGCTTTGGTTTCTATTTGTGACCTCTATAACGGCTACAATATCAGGAAAATTTTTAGTTGTTGGCCCATTTCAACCCCTAATTTATTGCGGACATCTTTAAAAACAGTAGGCCTAGCCCTTCTGAGCCCAATCCTACTCTTGTGAAAATTTTCGTGAGGATCGGACGATATTTGCTATAGCTATATAATATCCCCAACCTGTGTTGTAATGTGAAAAAATATTACAAAATATTATAAGTCAAATTGAAAAAATCGCATGCGATAAAAAATATTATGCGATCATCTCTAAAAGAATTAGGGTTCTATTCTGACCCTAGCCCCACCTCCATTCTAAATTTCGTGAAGATCGGGCCATAATTGTGACCTGTAGAGTGATTACAAATTAACATGGACAGACGGACGGACGGACATACATAGCTAGATCGACTTAACTCGGCGAGATAGGAAGATCCATATATACTTTCCCATGTGGGAAACCAATATTTCGAGGCGTTATAATTTTTGGCCCAATCAAACTTATAATACCCCCAACACATAGTGTTGTAGGGTATAAATAGACACACAATTCACAAAAATAAAAAATCCATTAATACGACATAAAACAGACAACGGCCAGCATCACACAATGGTCTTATCTTCTTGTTGTAGCCAATTACAGTTACATCCGACATATTGATTGAAATTAATAAGGTGAAATCTGTGGAGGCGTTGTAGCATTGGTATTTTATTGCAACCAAATTTTAACACTCATTTCAGTTATAAAAACAACAGATTATCCTCCATTCAATTTTTAAGATCTTCATTGACATATATGATTTTAAAATAGCCGTGAGCTTATCTTTCACATGAACATAACACTGAGCAACAGAAAAACTGAGGTGTGATTTGGTATTCTGAAATTTCTAAAATTCACTCAATTGGGTACGATTTGGAATTATGAGATCGGATGGATGTATAATCTTGAGCTTTAGTCAGATATGGGAAGTAGGCTTGTCTGACAAGCGTAAAAACAGTCAGATTTGAGAAATAGGCTTTATATTAGGAGGTTTCCTTGGAAATGCCTGCCAAGTGTAAAAACGGTCCTAAATGGTACTTTGGTACAATTTGAATTTTGGTAACCTGATGGAGCTGGAATTTTGAAATATTGGTATTTGGGTCATTGCTCTTTGGTAGGGCTAAAATACCGAGGTGCCTTTGGAAATACATTTGGTATTGTGTTAACGAACAGTGCTTGAAATAGGAGATTTCTAGGGTTGGTATTTGGATGTGGTTTTGGAAACACTTGAAAACATGGCTGAAATTATCAAAATATTTGGAGCTATGGGACTATATGAAAACGTGGACCTGTATTGAAAATAGCAAGTAAAAAAAAACATTAAGTTCGGCCCGGCAGAACTTTCAGAACCCTACACCATTAGATAAAAAAATAAATAAAAGTATCTCAAACGTGTTCTACTTTAATCTTCAACTTGCGATCGGTTGAAGAATGCAGTTCAATTTTTAAAATACAATAAATTGGGTGGAACCTTTATACGGGGGCCATACCAAAGCGGGAACTATAAATCTGAAAGATTGTTATATATTTTCATACCAAATTCAAAACACCGTGGAAAAATGAATCTAGGGTAATTAAGATCTGAATATCGGTGGGTACGGTTATATGAAAATCTTGGACAAATATGGTCAATGCTTTGACACCGGTTGTGGAGCTCATTATTAACTAAAACTGCAAATTTTTAAACAAATCCGATAGAAAAGGTAAAAATACCGAATATTCGAAGATACCGTTATATTGGGACTATAGTAAAACCTGAACCTATACAGACTATGTTCAGCCCACCGAAGAACCCGTTACAAACTCTTAAAACCGATTTTTAAAGAAATTCCATAAAAAATATGGGTTAAAATTTGAAAATAACGAATATCGGGAGGTACCGCAATATGAGCGCTATAAAAAACCATGGACCTATATGCGTAATGTTCTGTCAGCAGATCTAAAACCCGTTACGAACTACAAACACAAATTTTAGATAAATTCGTTGAAAAAGTGGCTTTAATCGTCAAAGTACCGAATATCGGGAGGTACCCTTTTATGGGGACTATAGTAAAACCTGGACCTATACAAACTATGTTCAGCCCACCAAAGAACTCGAACTCTTAACACCGATTTTGAAACAAATTCAATAAAAAATGTGGCCTAAAATGTCAAAATACCGAATATAGGGAGGTGCCGCAATATGAGCGCTGTAAAATATCGTGGACCTATGTGTGTAATGTTCTGTCACCGGATCTAAAAACCATTACGAACTACAAACACTCAAATTTAAGCCAAATTCATTGAAAAAGTGGCTCAAAGTACCGAATATCGGGAGGTACCGTTATATGGGCCCGGAAAGAAAACGTGGACCTATGCATACAATGTTCAGCCATCGGATGTGCAACCCATTACGAACTCTTTATAACGATGTCGAAAGAAATCCCAAATCGTCGAAATACCGAATATCGAGAGGTATCGTTATTTTCCCGCTATGGGAATATGTAATATTCTGCCATCGGATCTAAAACCCATTACGAACTACAAACACCAAATTTTAGACAAATTTGGTGGAAAGTGTAGCTGCAATCTTCAAAATACCGAATATTCGGAAGTATCGTTATATGGGTGGTATAGTAAAACGCCAATATGCAGGTACCAGAGATAGAACCCGTTATAAAATCTTAATACCAAAATTTCAAACAATTTCGTTAAAAAGTAGGCCTTAAATTATGAGCTACCGAGAAACCCAATTGTCAAGTTTCAGCTAATTATGACACAAACCTTCAAAATATCAAAAATCGGGAGGCGCAGTTATGTGGGAGCTATACCAGCATCTGGACCCATGGCAATATTTTTTGCAAGGAGAGAACTAACCTACCGAGAATCCCAATTATTAAGTTTTATCTAATTTGATTGGAAATTGTAGCAGAAACCTTCAAAATATTGAAAATCGGTAGGTACCCTTATATGGGAGCAGTTAGTGGACCTGTAGCGAATATTTTTTGCAGGGAGAGAATAGACCTACTGAGAACGCCAATTGTCAAGTTTCAGCTAATTTGCTTGGAAATTGTGGCAGAAGCCTTCAAAATAACCAAAATCTGGAGATGCCGTTATATGGGGGCTATGTTAATTACTGGACCTAAATCGAACATTTTTGGCAAAGAGATAATAGACCTTCCGATAACCTCAATTGTCATATGGGAGTTATATGGGAGCTATACCAATAAGTGGATCTATGGCGAATAAGGAGAAAACTGACCTACCGAGAACCACAATTGTAAAGTTTCAGCTAAATTGGTTGGAAATTGTAGCAGAAACCTTCAAAATACCGAAAATCGGGAGGTGCCGTTATATGGGAGCAATACCAACACGTGGACCTAAGGCGAACTGACCTACCGAGTACCGCAGTTGTCAAGTTTTACCTAATTTGGTTGAAAATTTAAAAAAACTTTAAAATACCAAAAATCGAGAGGTTTCGTTCTATGGGTGCTATGCTAATTAGTGAAGAACCGATAGAAGGGACCACCTCTTCTGGTACCTCCCCCACAATGGTTTAAAATTGAATAATATATCCCAAAGAAAGTGAAATAAGTATCCTATTCCTTTTAAAATCAATATTTTCATCAAAACAAGATCTGTTGTAAATATGGTAGATATCGGACCACTCCATTATGTACCCCTCATAAAATGCGCATCCGACTCCTCTCGAATTTCCCAGTATTATTATTTTCAGATATCTTCCTACTCCTTCTGGTATCTCCTCCATAATGGGAGAATATTTTAAATAACCATGAAACTCATGAAACGAGGATTGGATTATTTTCAAATTCGGTACATCCCAATATTTCTATAAACACAATATCTAGTTTGAAGACGGAATATATCGGAACACTTTTTATGGTACCTTCCCCACAGTGGGTCAACATTTTGAATAACGCATAAAGCTCATAAAAGTATATCTGATTCCTTTCAAACTCGGCAAATAATAATATTTTTACTAACCCAAGATCTGGTATAAAGATGATAAATGTCGGCCCACCCCTTCTGGTGCCTTCCACACAAACTGTCACAATTTTCAATATCTAACGCTAATATCTTGCGAAATTTGGTATCTCTAAATATTTTTCTCAATCAAAGATCTGATGTGAATATGAAATTTATTGGTCCACTCTAAATATTTCCCTCAACCAGAGATCTGATGGAAATATGAAATTTATCGGCTCACGCCATCTGGTACCGTCCCCACAAAAT